GACGAATTCGCACTGCGCCAACTTTGTTTAATGCCTGTCCAAGTTTTCACATCTCCGTGGCTGGTGTTAAACTTTGCGATGGAGACATTGGCCGAAGCATTTTCGTTTGCGGACACTGTATAGCTTTAACGGTTCAAGCGTGAATATGACGAGAGAATTTCTTTCTTTTGTGTACTGAAAGTATTATTTTTGTTCTCGAGATCTCGATGATCGAATTTCATGACGAAGTACTTTTTAACGAGATTTATTTGGTTTGTTCAAGAGGATCTCTTGGTGCTGGAAATATCTATCACTCTTGATTTTCGAGATGTATGTGATGATTGCGGAGTATCTTGAGGATACGTAGTGAAGTATTCAATTGATTCATCGAGACTTTGATATCAGAAATACTGTTTCTAATTTTCGAGATGTTTGATATGGTTTTGTTATTTCTTTGGGGAATAGATGGGTCTAAAGAGACGATTTATCATTTTAGCCGATTCTAACTAACGAGGAAACTATAAACTATCCTAATTACAGAATCCGCTATGTACATATATTAGCAGAACGTGTGTAGAGTTTAATTCCAAAATCAATAACCACCGTGTTGAAGTATCTTCCGGAAACTATCAGATACGCTTCGCTAACATCTCCCCCCGAATCGTCTACACTATACAAGAATAACGATCAAGCTGTAAAATCTTCACTAAGTTTTCGTCTCTTGACGCGTACAGCTTCCAATTTGTAAATTCATCCTGTACATACAGTTTTTTCGGTATCTCCTTTGATAACAAATTCTCTGCGTATGCTCTGTCACTTACACAGCACACCTTGTACATTCGTCGCAATATGTATAATAACACATGATGTACAATTACTACGATTTTGGTGGAGGATTATAGGTTATACATCATTTTATTCCCAATACTCATGTATTATACATAATCCGTAGCCACGTATAAATCACCTGGTTGCCCTGCCAAGAAATACGCTATCTGTAAAATAAATTAACCGCGACCCGATTACCTTTTACATAAATTCATCTCGCTATATTATCGGCGAGATCGGATCTTTCATAATCATCTGTAAATACTGATTGCAGCACACACACTGAAGTGAAAATTTCTATTTAAATGTTCTTCAAATTGTCCTTTCTCGCGTGAAATGATCAGCTGATGACTTCTTGTGGTGGCTTCTTGTAAATAACCAGAGGTGGTCGATGTGCATTGCCTTCTCTCATCCATTTCTCTTTCACACTCTTGATGGTATCCTTCAGTAGTGATGGGATTAATATTCATTTTAATAGCGTGGAAACGATATGGACTTTCAATTATTATATTCACAATTGTATTCGTGAGAGAGAAATTGAAATATAAAAAGTACTTCTTCTTCATCGCAGAATTTAATTACGTCGAAGAACGCAATGAATTCTGATTCTAGGAAGTAATTCAATGTACCATTCGAAATAAACGTTAATTTGCCTTAATTATTCAGTTGCTCTACAAATTATCGTTTTTCATTGAGCTGACGAAAGTTCCGTCGGACTTTAAAGAATTAGTTCGCAGTAAGTGAATCACTTTTAACAACTTTAACTTCATCCTTCTGTTTCCAAGAAATCTCCTCGTCTCTCCAAATTTTTAATTACGACAAAGAATGTTCAACGATTTTCAAAAATTGTATTTTATAAATGTCTAATATTCGTGAAAAGTCTTACTATAGATTATATAAAATATACAGCTTTCTTAATAAATAAAAGAATTATAAGAAAGCTACTTCTTAATTAGGTCATCACAGAGTTCTGCGAAGAACAAGTACAATACCCGTTTCGATTAACAATATCAGTATTGAGAACCACTCCCATCGCTACACGAACTCGCGATCCTTTCTTCTTGGCTATAGTCTCCTCTATTCATATATTTCTCGCGCCTACACAGTGGACACACGAACGAACAAGTTTAAGTCGGTCGGTGTAGGAACGAAAGACTCGCCCCTAACACCCACGGTTATTCAAGGGATGATTATGTTCGACAACAACGTGGCCGATATTACTACCAGCAGTACGATGTCGCCGATTAATTGCACCACGGTAGTCTACACCTTTCCGGAAGAGGATCGTGTCGTTGTCGGATATATCAATGAGTGGATCAATGCCTATTCGTTTATATCGAGTAAGTACACCCTGTACCCCTTCTTCTCGTCCGACTTGTCGGTAAGTCTTCCTTATCGCTTTCTCTCGGTGGTTTTTGTATTTCCCGCTCGACTTTGTCGATAATACAGAAAGATATGTGGAAGAATGTCGGTAAAGTGAGATTTCGTTCTTGTTGGATGTTGGCGAAATAGTTTACTGTCGAGATGTTACCTGTTATTGATAATTTATCATTTGTTGATTCGCTAGCAACCTTTTATGCTCTCTATCGATAATATTACTTGATTCTTTATCACGAAATATGTTAAAAAATGTTAAATTTATAGTAGGAAGGAGAGATTTAATGATAGAAAAAGATTGAATTTACATCACGTAGAAAAGTGAGGAATAGCCGACAATTAGTAATGCACTTCATTGCTCGAAATGCGATTCATTTACAGGGTTTACAGACAAAAGGATTGCGCATTTGTGTCTGGCATTGCATTTAGAGTAGTACAAAGTTTTCTAGTAATTTTGCATGCGATTCAAACCTTTTCTACCATCTCGAACTTTTTTACAATTTCTCTCGATTTCATTCAATCATTTCCATTGCTATTAATTTTCATTCGATTTCTTTTACACAGAGAATCAAGAAAAGTTCTACCTGTACATCATAGTGTCGGTCACAGCCGGCATTTTAATTTTCCTGGGCTTGGTAATTGGACGTCTTCTAGTCAGTCGTCACCGTGCAAAGAGAGACGCGAAGTTCCATGCAAATAACGAAGCGCTTCCGAACGGATTCACCGATGACATTTCGGAGATCGACGCGGATATTGATCTTACCACGCCGGTGCCAGTCCCAATGCAAGACACAAGGTTCGTAACCCACTTTAATTCCTTTTTCGAAGAACGCAACATTCTATTTCCTTTTCTTCGTGTTAAAATTTTTTTTATCAATTATAATTATTCTTGATTTGTTGAAACTGTATCGTTTTTAATTTTAATGATCATGAGTAGTAAAAATTGTCTATATTCTCAAAAGTACGTTGCGTATATGTAACAACAACAGATATTCCCTATTTTATGCATTTGTGTATTTAACAAATGATGACATAAAGAATAAAATCAAGTGTAACTCATTCAATCCTGTTTCAATCTACATCAACAAGCTAATCAACATCTTCCAGATATTCAATTATTATTGTTAGATAATTAATTTTCAAACTACATGATAATAATCATTATACATGCCTATTAGTCTCAAACCAAATACGAAAATAATAAATGGCAACAACCTCAATGCAATTAGCATCTTACAAATATTAAATTATTATTGTTAGATAATTAACTTTTAGACTACATTAACAACAATAATTATAATATGCGTCTATTAATTCTGAACCAAATACAAGGAAAAGTTGATTAACATTGATAAACATCGTTTGGGATATAATTAAACATACGTTACGTTCCCAAACAAATGTATCATATAAATCAGCCACCTAATTAAATCAACCAGGCTAACAAAACTAAATCTCTTTCCAGGCTCCCAGAGACCCAATTAGCGGAGAGACTTCACGGCGATCGTTACTACGCGGAAACCAGGATACCAATGTCGCCCACCACGATGCACCCAGCGCCAGGACACTACCCTGGCAACACAGGTGTCAGAGTGGATCTTGGTAACCATATGGTGGGCACCGACAGTCTCCACACGATCCTACGCCCGGAAAATCCACGGAGCATGAACACGAAAAGCTATTACTACGGCTGACAAGAGGAAGGGGGTGTCCCGCGCGAGGGACGGCCCCCGTCCTTGAGCCCGGTACCAGAAGTGAGCACGCGGAAGTACTGCTTTTAATCGACCGATTTTCTACGGGACGGCGAACGAAGCCGCTGTAAGAAGCAGCCGTTCGATATCAACGAACGTGCTGACTCGTTGTCGATCGAAATCGTTGGTTCTTCGAAGCGGTGGTCGAAAGTTGACCTTCGCCTTGGTACCGGAAACGAGCACGAGTGGCGGTGACCCTTTCTACATGTACGCGTTATCGTTATTTCTTTCCGAGTATACAACTCGCAGCTGTTAAAAAAGAAAAAAAGAAAAAAAGAAAAAAAAAAGAACAATCAGAAACTTCGACATCGAGTGGTTTAATCTCGAGAGAGAGAAATCAGAGAAGAATGGAATTTGGTTTCCTCGAGGATTGTTTCCGAATTTCGTCGGAATTTTCCACGGATATTGGCGGAAGTGATTGTATTTGATCCGTGTAGATCAGCATCGTGAAACGGATGGAAATTTCGTTGGATGCCGGATCGTTTGGAAGTGGACAAACTTGTTACCTCTCGCGGTGGCGATCGTTTCACGCGTGGCTTCGACCGACACCGGAAGCGAACCGAGAGCCTGACCAGCGAAATCTAACGAGAGCGTTGTAAATACGGACGTCGAGGATTTCAACTGTTTCTATGGAAATTCTAATGGGAATATCGTGGATGAAAATGAAAATTCAACGAGGATCGGATCCGATCGAGCAGGTATATTAAAAGTAATAAAAAAAACAAAAAGAAACTCCTATTGTTTGTTGAAGATGTTATTAAAAAATAGCACTGTTTTTAATGAGAAGCTGCGATTATATAAGGCAGGGTTTATCGATTAGAAAGTATAAATATAAGTTGAAACGTAAAAATATGGAGAATAGGACCGTTTTAAGCGGGCAGCGTTCGTTCTTGCATCTGGTACCGGAAGTTAACATCTGCCACGTTGTCGAAGCTATAGAGATGATTGTGATTGCGATTAGATTTTGATTAAATTTCGATGTCTGAATGAACGATTTGTTCGGCGAAGAAGGATTGTGAAAAATAAATAATCCAGGCAGCACAGAAACTATGAATCCCTTAAAGAAGAGTAACAATATCTTGGAATTATTTTAAATAATTGAAGAAAAATTATCCTGTGGAAAAAAAAATTTCTCAAGCTACCAACGTACTTATCTATTTTATTTTACTGAGTTAATATTAATATTAATATTATTAGTGGCACTTCAGTTATCTACAAGACACCTTTAAGTCGAAATTTGTAATATCTAAACAAATTTGTAATATCTAAACAAATTTATAAAACATATAAATTAAGTCGTGAGATATTTGAACCTAAAATGGACGTGAAAGTCTCGTGTTCTGTGTGGAAATAGTTATTCGAATTTGAGATTGAATATTGACACGTTGGTTGAGTGTTTTTTTTTTTTTTACAGTAATGACAATTATTTTAACAAGATGAAACATTTCATTTACAAAAAGGAGAGTAAGGCTTGTACTTAAGATAATAATTTCTATTTCCTAATAGAAATTACTTTCTACGCGAATCATCTTCATTACTTTATCGAACATGAAAATGAAAAGGAAGCATCACTGTTGAACAGTAATAAAAATATATTTGCCAAAGCTAGCAAATCGATGTCTTATATGTACGTACAATAATTTATCATTGAAAAAAATATCAATTTTTTTTCCGACGAAAATCACGCACACACCTCTTTGAAAAGAAAGATAATACATATCTTTGCGCAAAACCGTGTTCAGCAATAAGCAATCGCAGTTCTTTCCATCCGAAGAATCATTTCTCCTTGTCGAAAAATCGAGAAGACTGCCTGAAAAAAAAAGACAAAATATATCACTGCCTAGTTGATGAGGAAAATGAAATACGGGTCCTTTATTACTAGACAAATTTTTCTCAGATCTTCGCTCAAATTGAATTATATTATCGACGTTGCCACGTTTAACGATGATTCCTGGATAAGAACAAACATCGATAGCGTGGTAATCTTGATAATAATTTTTCCAGTACGAACTTGTAGTATATTTGTCTCGTCGAGAAGGAAAAATAGAAAAGTCGGATATTACGTGTGGCTCGAAATACAAATTTGTATTGGAGTATTTTCTAAATAATCAAAAATTATTTACAATGGATTAGTCACGAAAATTTTGTGAGTGATTAAAAATTTCAAAAATAACAAATACTTCATCAACTTTCAAGTTTATAATCTAAATTGTAATTCGAGTTGAATTACATACGACGCAAGTTTTCTATGGCAATTATTTTGATTACTTTATCAAGCTGCGTTAACAATAATGAAAATGAGAAGGCAATGTGTGCTATGAAATTACTCCTGAATTTATGATAACGTTCTGAATGATATTTCCAATTGACTTGGTCTATTTAATCCTTTCGAAGAACTGGTAAAAATTTCTTTTATAAAGTATTTGAGCGACACGTAACACCGTCGTCATCGGCAATGAAGACATTTACACTATTAGTCGACAGCATCGCTCAGATTTCTCTCGATTGAAGCTCAGTGCATCGGAACGAACAGTCAGCGATCAAAGGATCAATATTGTAATTCGATGGACGAATGAAACCGACACGATCGAACGACACGAATCGACGATTGATCGATCGATCTCCCTAGAATAATCTTAATCTCTAACTAGCACCGTAAGAAAAAAAAAAAAGAAAAAAAAATAAATGAAAAAAAAAGAGAAAGAGAAGGCAAACGAATGAGGTGTCACGTAGATCGAACACCTAGTTTCGATTTAAATTCACTAATGATTAACCGTGTGTAAGGAAGTCGATCGATCTCAACGAAGTTACAGCGGTTTTGTATCTCGAATACACGCAACCAAAAAACAAACAAACAAACAAAAAAAAA